ATCATCAAAACATCAAGATGTATGAATATGAAAAAAAAGAAAAAAAAAATTAGTTTAAAAAATAGTGCATCTTGCAATACATTATCTAGACCGTCTATTTTCAATATTTTCATATATTTATAGATTTGCTTGATTTTAACCATTTTTGGAGTTTAAAATTTTATAATTATATATGAAAATAGATTTTGAGATCATCTTAAGAATCTTTTTCACTAAAATTACATGTTATGATAAAATTTGAAGGTGTGCTATAATTGGATTGTTTAAGGTTGCATACCTTATAGAAACCACACCCCTAAATAATTAGTGTATCTTGTATTTTAAAGAACTTTGAGGTATTTATAGAGTTTGGCAAAAGTTTATAATGGTTGCAACCTTCAAAAAACTAAAGATGCACATATAAAATCTATTGGAAACTGTTGTTTTAATGTTGAAAAATCCTCTAATTGATCATCTCGATATAGAGATGTATGAATATGAAAAAAATATATATATTTTGAGTCACAAAAATAGTACATCTTGCAACGCATTATCTAGACCGTCTATTTTCAATGTTCTCATATGTTCATAGATCTACTTGATTTTAACTATTTTTAAAGTTTAAAATTTTATAATTAAATATGAAAATAAACTTTTAGACAATCTTATGAGTTTTTAGCATAAAAAAATACATGTTATGATAAAGTTTGGAGGTGCACCTTAATTAGATTGTTTAAGGTTGCAACCTTATAGAAACTACACCCTTATAGTTGTAGTAGCAGTATTGTTTTTTAAGTTTTAAATATTCAAAATAGATTTTCAACGCCGTTGTACGGTCTTTTGGTGCAAGATTTAGAAGTGTGCCCTACTTGACTACTGCAACTGGACACGTTCTTCAAACCCGACCCTTCTTTTAAATGAGAGAAGTTCACATAAGGTGTCAACCTTATACTATGAAAGTAAGGTGCGCCTCAAAAACCATCCAAGAATGTTGTTTGGTAACTAGAGAAATTCTCTCATTCATCATCTTGATCTCGATATGGATATAAAAGGAAAAATAAATTTCAAGTATTAAAAATAATATATCTTGTAACATATTATCTGTGACTGTCTATTTTTAAGATTTTCAAATGCGTATAGATATGCTCATTTTGCAACTTTCAATTGCATAATAGAGGTGAAAAATAGACTCTTAGACCATATTTAGACTTTCGACAACGAAATGACATCTTTTAACGAGATTTTGAGGTGCACCTTACCGTGATTGTTTAAGGTTGACACTTTATACAAACCTCACCCCTTTTAAATATCAAAGAGTATTTTTCAAATAGGAAAATTGTTTCATGTGGCGAGGACCGCATTTCTACATTTGCAGCCCCCGAGGTATAAAGCATCCATCTTTAGGTGGTCTATTTAAAAATGGAAACAATTTATATAGAGCCGAGGCTCTAAACAATCAAAGCTCACTTCAAAAATTTCACTAGAGGAGGTCGTTTTGATCCCAAATATCCTCAAATTGATAACCTCAACATCAAGATGCATGGACATGAAAAAAAAAAAAAAAGGTTTCAAGTTTTGGAAATAGTGCATCTTGTAACGCATTTTTGAATACTCAATTTTCAAGATTTCAAGTTTTCATAGATTGCACAAACTGCATTATTTTTTAAGCTTTAAATTTTATAATTAAAGATGAAAATATATTTTAAGGCTATCACAAAGATTTTCAAATTTGAAACCACATTTCTCGACACTCTTTGAAGGTGCGCTTTACTTTGATTATTTAGAGCCTCAGACCTATACAAACCGCACTCTTTAAAAATAATTGAAGCTAATGGTCCAAATGTTTTTTTAATGGGTGCAGTTTGTATAGAGTCGAGGCTCTAAACAATCAAAGTAAATCGTACCTTTAAATAGTGTCGAGACATGTGGCTTCAATATTGGAACTACATGTGATAGCCTCAAAATATGTTTTTATCTTTAATTATAAAATTTAAAGCTTAAAAAATAGTATAGATCTATGAAAACTTGAAAATCATGAAAATTAATAGTCCAAAAATACGTTATAAGATACACTATATTCAAAGCTTGAAATCCATTTTTTTCTCATGTCCATGCATCTTGATATCGAGATGATTAATTTGAAGATCTTTGAGCATCAAAACAACCTCTTCTATGAAATTTTTGAAGTGGGCTCTAATTTGATTGTTTAGAGCTTTAGCTCTAAATAAACTTTCTCCTTTTTTAATAGAATCATTATTTTTAATTTTCAAATTTTATTTATTTATTTATTCATATTCATGATCTCCATGTTAGAGATTACATGTCTTTAAAAATTAGGTCAAAAAATCCATCTCAAAAATACATTTTTAAGAGGTGACTCATTTCTACATAGACTCATATAAACCGTGTCCTTTCAAATAATGGAAGAAAAAAAATCCATATAAGACTCATGATATGTGACAAAAAGCAAAGCTTTACCAGAGGACCTGTCTATGAAATGGAGTTTTTTCATTGAAATATCCTTAAATTGATAATTTCGACTTCGACAATAATAGATGTAAATAAAATTCACTTATTTTTGGGCAATTTAGTTGGAAGAATCGATCTAGACATTCAAATATCCTCAAATTAATAATTTCGACTTCGATAATAATAGATGTAAAGAAAATTCACTTTTTTTTGAGCAAATCAGTTGAAGGAATCGATCTTGACACATTACATCAACCGCAAATCACTCAAGCTCATGCATTTGTATATTGAAATCAAACTTGAATTTGCACCCCAAAAAGTAGTAGATCTTATAACATATCATCTACACCATTAATTTTCCGTAGAAATATGATTTAAAACCATCGTAGGAAAATGGGCAGGAATTATACCTTATTATTCTGTGGCACAAATGTGGAGGAGATTATTAATGTTAAAAAGGTTTCTCAGGTGTTGTGAGTTTGCACTCGGTTTCAAAGTTAATTTTTCAAAGACTTCAGTCGTTGGTGTGGGATCTCAAGAAGGGAATGTTTAGTATCTTGTACAAATTATGTAATGTAAAAGATAGATTTCTTTTTTTACTTATCTGAGTATGCCTCTTTCATATCATAGATTACCAAAATCAGTTTGGGATCCAATGGAAAAAGGGGCTAATAAAAAATTAGATATCCGGAAATCAAAACACATATCCCTTGGTGGTAGAGTTACTTTAATTAAGTCATCTCTATCTAATTTGCCTATTTATCATATGTTTTTATTGAATATGCCTGGTGTTGTTATCAAACAAGTGGATCAGTTAATGAGAAATTTCCTATGGGGAACAAACAAGGATGTTAAGAAATATCATTTAGTTAATTGGGACAAAGTTTGCAAACCAAAGAATGAAAGAAGACAGTATAATGACATTGAGATATGTTAAACAAGCATTGTTAGCAAAATGGTGGTGGCGTGCATTGTAATCTGTACTTTGGAAGGAGGTTATTGAGTCTAAATATGGGTTGGATGAGTTTAACTCGATTGTTGCACAGGGAAATAGTGGCCATCACTCTTTTGTTTGGAAGGGTATATCCTCAATGCGGCATTTCTTTTTGGGTAACTCAAGATGGGCAGTTGGCAAAGGGGATAGAGCACTATTTTGACACTCTAAGTGGGTTTCAGATTTATCTTTTAAAGGCCTTTATCGAGATTTTTTTTTTTTTTTGTAGAAGTGCAAATCCAATGGTAAAAATTAATGAGGTGGACGTTGTTAATGAGTCTTTTGTGGTATGAAACATTAATTGTATATATCAGCTTATACCTCAAATTGCAGATGAACAATATGTGGATTTACTCAAAATGGTGGAGAATTATCATGTTTCAACTTATGCCAATGATGATGGCGTATGGGAGTTAGAAACAAGCATATCATATTGTATTTCATGATCGCACTACATGAAACCAATCAAATTTTAAAGATATATAGAAATGGAAATCCCTCATAAGGTGCAAGTGTTTGTCTGGGTTTTATCTCAAAAAAAAGTTTTAACAGTTGATAGTTTAAAAAAAAGGGGAAAGATTCTTGTTAACATCTGCCTTTTTTGCAAACAAGATAAGGAGAATGTTGATAATTTATTTTTACATTCTCCCTATACTTATCAGTTATAGTGTTGGGCTGCAAAAAGTTGGACCTCTCTTACCTATGCCCCATTCTATCACAATTTGGATGAGCAGTCTGAAGTTAAATATGGTTCCAAAGATAAGAAGATAGGTGGTATTTTATGGGATATTTTAAGAGGTGCACTAGCATGGGAATTATGGCTTGAAAGGAATAGGAATACTTTCGATGGTGTTGGGATAAGTATGGAGGATCTAAGGAATAAAATTATGTTTTGTACTTAGAACCTACGTAAAAAATTTCATTAGAAGAGATTGTTTTCATGCCTAAATATCTTCAAATTGATCATATCGACATCAAGATGCATGGACTTTAGTAAAAAAGGGATTTCAAGTTTGAAAATAGTGCATCTTGTAAAACATTTTTGAGCGGTCAATTTTTAAGTTATTCAAGTTTACATAGATCAGCTCGATCTATATTATTTTTAAAGTTTTAAATTTTATAATTAAATATAAAAATATATTTTAAGGCTAGCCAAAGATTTCAAGTAGTGAAACCACGTTTTTCGATACTATTTGAAGGTAGGCTCTACTTTGATTGTTTAGAGCCTCGGCTCTATAGAAACCGCACCCTTTTTCTTTTTATCTGTATCTCTTTCTCCGTTATCTCAGTAATTTAATAAAATCGGTTATTCTTAAAAAAAATAAAATAAAAAATAATAGGCAGGACATATGGGTCAATCCCATAAAACATGAAGGGCATTTAAGTCACCTTCTCCAGAATTAAATAACGAAATAACTAACCAGTTCCCATTGGTTCCACGCTCGAGAACAAGAGTTCCCAAGAAAAAGGCAAACGCGTAAGGACATTATCGTCAAATAATCAAAAGACGTGGTCATTATTCCAGGTTAAGTATCCAGTCGTTCCCATTGGTCACCCTTGCGGCATACCTAAGAGAGAGAGAGTGTAGAGAGAGAAAGTAGAGCAAGTGGGTGGCACGCCGTAGAGAGAGAAAGTAGAGAGAGAGTAGAGAGGGGGAAAGATTCGAGCGCTGGGTAGGTGAATCCTGTTTTCAGGAGGCAATTAAGGTTTTTCCAGATCAATGCATATCCTTTAATGGATTTTCACCTTTCTCTCTCTTCTCTCGGTTCTTTTTTTTTCTCAAGAAGAAGAGAGAGAGAGGAGATTTGATACGAAGTCAATGCCTGCTGATTCTGCTTCGCGATTAATGAGTTTCTCGAACCGTTGTTGAACGGTCGTTGAATAATCTCCACTCTTGGTGATCTGCTTTTTGAAAACCCGAGAGAGAGCCTTTGATTTTGAAAGCTCGTTTCTTTGCGTATTTAAGCTTCCTCTGCTCCATTATCTTGTATTTGTTTTGTGGTTGAGTTCTAGAGAGAGAGAGAGTAGAGAGAGATGTCTGTAGCTAAGAAGTTCCTTGTGGAGGTAGAGCGTGCGAAGGAGGGGAGAGAAGGGAGGCCTTCGGCTGGGCCTGTTTATAGGAGCATCTTTGCTAAGGATGGGTTTCCTGAGCCGCCTCAAGGATTGGAGAGTTGTTGGGACATTTTTCGGTACTTAATTCTTTCTTTTCTTTATCTTTTGTCATTCCTTCTGAAGTTCTGTTTCTAGATGTATATTTGTTTTTCATGAAATTTTATTGAATATTGATCGTTTGAATTCCTGATCCTGATACGTTGTTTTCTCTCTCTTCACAGTGATGATTCTATATTTTTTTGATAAAATCGAAAATTGGGGGATTACTTTGTTTCCTGCTTGCCTTGAATTGTACAAATTTTAGTTTTTTTTCGTTTTCGTGGTTTCTCTGCTTGGACAGCTTTCTTATTCATTCGTTTTAAGATGTTTTGTTTTTTTGGGGGTCATGCTTGGTTTTTTTCTATTAGCTTTTCTTTCTGTAACTCAGCTCCATGGTATGTGTACCTTGTTTGGGCTTCTTCTATTTATTACTTTCTTTCATTTTTAATTTCTTTTTTTGGGTTTTTTTAAATTTTTTTTTTTTCATATGTTATAAATCATGATTTGCTAGACTCTCATGCTGTAGTGTCCATGTTTTTTTCTTCTACTCTTTCTTCCTCTCTCTCTCTCTCTCTCTCTCTCTCTCTCTCTCTCTCTCTCTTACTTCTTACTTACGTTACGGTTACGGTTACGGTTACGGGTTTACGGTTTACGTTACGTTACGTTACGTTACGTTACGTTACGTT